CGGTCAATTCCGTTACTGTCAAACACCAATAAATGCAAATGAGATTTAGCTATCATTCAGCACATTGTGTGACGTAAGCGTTCCAATATCTAACTCTGCAGTCAAACATCTCTTTTTTTTCTAATCGCTCAGTAAAACATTGCAATTTATAGACTTTTTAAGCATAGATTGGTATAGAGAAACTTTTTTTAAAAGGTATAACAAGAAGGTATATTTGACATATATAAAATAATGCAGTACTCTTTGTGAAACATGAAATAAAAATATTGTGTATTAAAGCTTTAACATGTTTTATAATGTCAATGTGTGACTTCAGTTATAAACAATTGAAATTGATGCAGAAACACACACCAAAAAAATATATATCCATATAAAACAGTGCTTGTTCAAGTTGTTGTTACTTGAAATTTCATTTTTTTTTAGAGTTAAATTGCACTTGTTCATATTTTTGTGCTCTTGTGCACCATCAGTACAGTGAATCTCAGACTCCCATGGGATATTTTTGTGCTCTTGTGCACCATCAGTACAGTGAATCTCAGACTCCCATGGGATATTTTTGTGCTCTTGTGCACCATCAGTACAGTGAATCTCAGACTCCCATGGGATATTTTTGTGCTCTTGTGCACCATCAGTACAGTGAATCTCAGACTCCCATGGGATATTTTTGTGCTCTTGTGCACCATCAGTACAGTGAATCTCAGACTCCCACGGGATATTTCATTTAAAGTGCAACAATAAATGCTAATCTTGTGCAGAATCCTACAAAACTAGACTTCCCATATGGGGCCCGAGTATTTAAAACTTTTTCATTGATGATAAACTTGAGTGTTCGGAGTATTATAGTAACACAAAATATCACTTCATCTTCTTTTATGCAATAGCTAAAATGTACGGTATATGCTATCACACTATAAAGAAATCATACAACTTTTTTTATATCCCCGCAAACGAAGTTTAGGGGGGTGGGGGTATATTGGAATCAGCTTGTCCGTCTGTCTTTCTGTAGACGAGATTTTGTCCGGACAATTTCTTGGAAACTGTTGCAAGGATTTGTCTGAAAATTTGTATCCTAATTCTTTGCCATATGACGGTGTGCAACTGGTATTTTCGTCATGATTGGATAATTTGTTTGCATTTTACAGGTGTTTTGTTTTCATTTTTATTATGTTGTTTTGTCTGGATCTGTTCCCAGAGACTATTGCATAGATTTGTATGAAAATTTGTACACTTATTATTTACCATATGTAGATGTGCACCTGGTGTTTTCAACATTATTTGATAATTTTTCTGCATTTTACAGGTGTTTTTTTTTTCATTTTTATTGACTTAGTCATTTCGGGTTCATGTCTAAGGTTTGAGACATAGAATCTAGAACATCTGAACAAAAATGTGAACTACAGCTTAAAACTACTCATTAGAACTAAAAAAAAATCACAAAGTATTTAAAACAGTTTTTACATTACACAGCAGATAGTGTAAATCCATTTGGCCCTTGGGGGTAATGAGTGGACATGCATCTAGATTAATTACTGAGTTAAGTGTGGGAAGCTTTTAGGGCATCTCTGATCAAGCAGGTTTTATCTATATCTCCTGGGAATTGGGCAGAAAGAAATAAAGATCTCTGTTGTCTAAGTCTCTTAATTGTAATTTATGTCTGTCAAAATACAGAGTTACTGGAACCAGCCTTTTATTTTTAAAATGAGTTTGATATAAAGGTATTAAGATCAATTTGATTTTGTATAATTAATTATGATTATTTTTTTTTCAACAATCAATTTGCAGAGTGTCATGTCTCACAAAGATGACAGATGGTTGCAAACTATATTTTCAATGTAATAAAAAACATTGTAATTACTACTATTGTTGTTTTATTAGGCTGCACCTTAGTTTCATTCATTAAAAAATATAATGAGTAATTAAATTTTCACTCTAAATGTTTTAGCAAATTGTGAACACCTCTCACATCTAGAAAACATTAGTGATTTGGTTTCTTCTCTGAAAAACCCAGCGGGGGGTATTTGTCCCTTTTCGACAGTTCTAGTTTTAAAAGAAGAACCCTCAAAAAGAATATGAATCACGTGGTCTGTAACAAGTCGGCGAATTTTCTTAAAATTACGCATTTAATCACGGTATAACAGTCTAAATGAAATTGTAAACTTACGATGAAACTTTGTCCAGCAAAAACTCGGCAACTACCATCAAGTCAGGCAACAGTTTTGTTGTAAATTCCATCAAGGCACTGGAAGAAACGAGCTTTTCCCACGCACCAGCCAGCCCCGTTTGACAATCGTGACGAGACGGTGAAAGCGCCGAGCCGATGTAGATCAGCTCCAAACGACATTCGGTAATTTCATAGAAAATACATTTATGGAGCTGATTTAGCGACCAAAACGAAACAAACAAATAACATTTATAACAAACCATACAAAACAAATCTTTAAAGTATATATATGTAAGTATATAAAAATAAAACACGGAATAAAGTTTTCTCATAAATATTTATAAAAATGGGCGGAGTCACGTGATATTCATGAGCTCTACCACATGGAAGTCCTTAACCTAGCTGCGAGGGAAAATGTTGCATTCGCACGTGAGCTGGCGCGGAATAGTAAAGCTCGTGCTATTCCAGGAACGGACATGGCTACTTTAAAAAGGTCCATGCTCCGATCAAAAAGAACTGTTGCAACTTCTCAACGGCCTACACAAAGGGTCCAACATCTTGGTTATCATACCACTTTAAAAAATCTCCCATGTGGGTGAAAGGTTCTCGAGAGGGACGTTAAACCAACATACAAACAAACAAATAAAAAATCTCCCAGACCAGAAATGTTTTCTTTTGTCCACACTAAACTTATAATCCTCTTCGCTAATGTTTGTTTTATGCTACTGTAAAACGTACTGTGGGGTGGTAAAGATGTATCTTGTAGCTGGTGATGACTTTTGAGTTATTCGTATGGGAAATAATCCTGGGACCAGATAGTTTGTTATGTCCAGAAAGCGAAATTTGTCGTTGCTAATGCACGTGTACATTTTATTATTTTTTTATTGTTATTCCATTTGTTTCGTGCATTCGAAGGTGTTTGGCAATGTTCTATTTAATCACGTTCAGGTCATATCTCGCTGAATTGAATCCTAACACCGGGATTGGATGACAATAGAAGTCAAATCAGTCTCCTATACTGGTAAGCGCATTGATCATGGCGACGTCCATTTTTGTTGGTTCGTCTTTTGTCCACTCCTCAATCATTTCCTGAAGTTTTTTAAAGATAAATCCCCATTTGTCATAGGCAAGGGCGTAACACGAATCAGCGATGTTTTCCATATATTTCACCATTTGACCAATTAACGTGTTAGGGTTGCGTTCGATGAAGCATTCCGGAGTTGAATATTCCTCTAAATTTGAACACACACTGAATGTGTTGTGTCTGCCATTGTAATTTGGCACTGTTCGCTGCATTATCTAGCATATTCAGTTAGGCTTCAAAGTCAAAAACTATAAACCAAGAAAACACTCTGTCCTATAATGGCACCATACACCATACTGCTCGAATATTGTTTCCTTCATTCTGTGGAAACTTCCCGAGTATATTTGTAAACTGTTTTGTTTTTACACGTTTTTTTCATGACGCGTACACTTTCAGGAGGTAGGGGAAATTTTTCACATGATTTACACTGATATTTCTTGGCATACGCTTTCATGTTGGTAATATAGGACACATGATTCTGTAACAAATTCAATTCAAATTCATAGTGTCATCATATCGGGACAAACTTCGACGGTTTGGGATAGCACTTTCGTCCTCGTGTAAAACGAACATGTTGAGGTTCACGCCAAAACAGCGCTCAATGTTGCGTTATTTAATGGTAAATGAGTGCACGTCTATGTCTTCGTCAACACTCTCAGGGTGACAGAGGTAGATCGACGACCATTCATCATAGGGAGATGTGTGTCAAACTTCAAAAGAGAATCGGCTGAAAAACCCCCAAGAAGGGCATCTCAGTTCTTACTAGTTAGTATTTTATGTGCTTTTTCCTTTAAGATATTGTACGTGCCACCTTGCTCCAAAAGATTCTTAATTCAGAATGTTTTGTTAAAAAAAAGATATTAATGCAATTTTTCAAAAATAACATTTATTGTTCATTTAATTAACCATGTTTTCCTTTTAGAATTTTCATTTTTTTTTCTCCTTTTTTCAATTTGATTTATTTAGAAAAATTAAGCTACATTACTTGTATATTTAAAATTAAACATCGTTTTAAAACTCGCGATTTATTATTATTACTATTTTAAATATTCGTTATTAGAAAATTGATAATTGTTTCCTTTTCAGTTCGATTGTTTCATTATCTATCTTTAAAAAGAATTATTATTTTTTCAAGTTTCATAACTTCTGTTTGGATTAAATTATTTGTATTTTGAAGTCTGATTGTTTCAAAAATTCATCTTTTGGTTTAAATTTTTCATTTTTTCTTCAAAATTAATCAACCGTATCGACCATAACTGAGGAACGTTGAAATGATCGACGGATGGGTTTTAACAAGCTATATGGATCCTCATTATTTAAAAATTGTCGGATTTTTGTTCTTCCAATATTATATTTTCCATCACGCTTAACAGCCTGATGTAATGTTTTTGGACCCGATAAAGCACCAGCATTGCCAGGTGTATAATGGAGTTTTTTTTTTTTAAATAATCCGTATACTTGGCCATCGTATGAGTAACTGATTTAACACAAATAGTTAGAGGGGTTTTATACATCATGATTGATATAATTAAAAATGCAACATAGTTTGATTTTTTATCATCAGTTTCATTTATATTTTTAAATGTTTTGAACAAATCAGCATCTAATGTAAAATAAGAATACAAGAAATGAATACATTTAGGTATTGTTTTAGATATATAGATGCTTTAAAACAAGATCAACATTGATAACTTCTATATGTGTACGTAATCTTAGTTAAAGATAAAAATACAGATGTGATGTCATGAAGAACTGTTAATTCCAGTCCATGTTGACTGTGAGTTGGCTTTGCTGATCACTTTCATCACAGTCCATCGATTCTATTTCTTCTTGGGCTTCATATCCAAACGGGGTGCATTCTGGACAAATTAGGACCCCCAGTTGGTTTTGATGGGATTCGTCGAGCATACACAATTGAGCATCATTTAATTCAGGTACGACCTCTCGCAATTCAAAGACTGCAGATCTAAGTCTATCAAATTTACTTCTGGTTAAGGTGACCCCTTTCTTGGTTGGGATTGGTTCCTTTGAATCATCTGGTTTCCAGAAGTGTCTTATGTCCAATGTAGGAAATTCAGGGGTTAGGGAAACGTAGACGCCACCACCAATGTGCCATTTCATCTGTTGTTGTTGATTCCGATGGTTTTCTAGATAGTCTTCTATTTCATCCAGAAGGCATTCAAACTTTAGCCAGCGGGGTAAGGGGAAAGTGACCCCTTTCTTCGTTGGGAAGATGCGACCATGGGAGTCAGTGAAGTGGCGGATGTGTATCATGATTTCCTCTTTGTAAGGTGAAGCAGTGAGAAAGAGATTAGTGAAATTGTCCAAATTGATTCTACATCGCGGTTCATGAGACTGTTGACGTTGAACAAAAGATTTATTTGATTCAACATCTATCTGTTTTTTCTCGACCGTATTGTGAAGAAAAGATCGTGCCATGATCAACTTTTTCTCATACTCGGAGGGCTCACTGTCTTCCTTGTTTAAAAGCTTTGATAGGTCGTTTTGTTGAGCTTTCAAAAGTGCTCTTTTGAGCCCATGGAAACCTCTTGGCCCTCTTCCCAAAATAATTCTTAGCAGTTTTCTGTTACGACTGTAACCGGTCTTTTCAAACTGTATCTCTTGTTGCATTTCGTCTGTGATAACTTTGTCAGCAAAGAGATACTTAGCCACAGGAGTGGCTTTCATTTCCTTCACCAATGTAGTGTAATTGTTTTTTTATGAGATTTTGCTGGTATACTTCCATGTTGAATTCAGTGTTCCTTTAACGTCAGGCTTTTTGAGACTGCTGATGTTTTGTTAAAGTGATTTCATTTTTTTCTCTTTTATATACTTATAAGAGGGTGTAACCGTTAACACCCAGAGATAAGGTTGATTTTGGAGCACGTGATTATATGATCACGTTGTGACTGTGACATGATACTGCACTCAGAGATGAAGTTGATAACTTTTTTAATACGGAGTGACTGTGACTTTTAGAACTCTCAGGATTTTGGCTTTCAGTCAGTTTATTTTGTAACACGGGTGAAAGTAGTTTTTCATTGCATTCAATTCTCCTCGTCAAGTGTGCCCTATCTACAGCATAGCTCATCCAAATCTTTCCGTTCTTCATATGGAACATAAAAAATCTGTATATTATCATTGAAATGATTTTTTTTGTTTTGACCTTTAAACATGGTTATAATTCTGGGGGTTTAAAAAGTAATCTATACTTTGTAGGCATAACTTTGCGTTTTATAATGGACTCTTCACATCCCCAGCGATCCGCAATGTCGTATCCTTTTTTGATTTTTTCTCTAAAGTCAATGATGCAGTTTTCTTTTTTATCGAACCAGTCACTCTCGTGTAAAGTCCATTTCTTGCTGTCTTTTTTCAGCGCGCTCCAGGCTAGGATTTCCCACTTGTATTGAGTTTGCTGGTATTCCATTTCTTTCAGCACGTATGAAAAAAGCTGAGATTTTATAACCCCCCCCCTCCCCTTTCACTGTCGTGAGATTGTGACTGTGATCTCGATACTGATAAGGAAATGACCATGTAAGAAAATGAATGTAACCTCTTTTTTGACCTTAGGTGCTGATAACAAAATGACTGTGTCCTCTTTAGTGACCTTGGGTACTGATAAGAAATTGACTGTGACCTCTGTTGACCTTTGGGTACTGATAAGAAAGGTGACTGTACTGATGAGAAAAGTGACTGTGTGCTACTACCTATACTACTTGAAAATTCTTGTATAATTCAAAGAAAAATATACAAAAATTACTAAACATAATTATATTCTAGATGTTTTGTTTATTTAAATTTGTTTTAGAAGAAATGTACAACAGCATATATAGACATTAATATCAATTCTCTGTAAGGACCAAAATTTTACTGTAGGGCTGTGGCACACACCATGAGCGATTTTCATGAAACTTTTTCAGGTGATTAATGCCCATACATTATGACACAATCAACATTCAAAATTAAGGTTACTACCTTGGTTGCCATGGTAACGGGCTAATATAGATTTTTGCCCCATTTCCTCTCAATTCAAGCATAAAAATGCTATATACTTGATTTCATGTGGTTTAATCATCTTTATTATTTTGAGATAATTCATACATTATATGAATAGAACAGATGAAGCACTATATAACACAACAACAAAAAATTCTACAAGTCACTGCAAATTCTTCAATTGATGGCTTGAAGATGACCAAATTCTTACATTTTGAAAATGGTCATTTTTACCCTATATTTCAAGAAGTCTCTAAAGAAATGCAGGCAATTCAAGAAAAAATCATCTGAAATTTTAAAAACACCATAATAATATTAGTTAACTTTTATGAAAAGTAGAGTGGGGATTTATTTCGTTTTCGATATTTTTAACTTCGAAAATTGGCATTTTGCCAAATAATATTTTGTTCAAAATGTTATTAGACACTGGTTGTTTTATAAAATTTCTTTTCCAAACATTTTTCTCACTAATAAATAAGACAAACCGAATGATTAAAATACATTATTAAAGATAATAAATAAGATAAAACTAAATTAATTGAATTATTATTGTTTCTCTATGATCCTTTACAAAGGGCAGATAACTCAAAATCTAAAGAAAATTAGCTATTCAACTTTTCACTGAACTTATTTCAGTAAACAACATTTTCAAATACTAGATAAAAAATGGAAAAAGATAATGGATAAAAACTCTAATGATACTTTTTCAACCAAAAAATAATAAATAGATAATAAATTGTTTTTTTTTCATACATTATAGGTAGGTTGATATTAATTTAGCAGGTTTAATATTTGATAGGCTAATGTTGATTTCCTCCATTTAAAATTTGCTTGTTCCCATGCAGATGCATATCTTTATATATTAATTCTATTTGGTTAGAATAACAGACAAACTAATGGCCAGACGGACAAGTTGATTTCTGTAATGAACCCCCCCCCCCTCCAAAAATAGTTTACGTTAAAATATTTAAATATGTTTTTCATTTTACTAAAAAAATGTAAAGATTAATAACTAAAAAAATCGGAACGAAGAGAATAGAGACTGTATCAAAATTAACGAGTGTTTTTATGACAGTAAAAGTTTGATTAAATGACAATAATAGCTAGATATTCAGGTCTGAAGGTATCGTTTTTTAAAGATGGTTTCCATGGCAACGGAATGTCAGATCAATTTAAAATATATTTTCTCAACAGTATACTTACGTTAACATATCCCAAAGTATAAATATAGACATTTACGGAAGAAATTATAGATGCAACCACAATTAAAGGTTTGTTAAATGACAATAGAAGCTAGATTTTCAGGTCTGAAGGTATACGTTTTTAGGGATTGTGTCCATGCCCAACAGAATGTTTTTTTTAATCTAAAATATATTTCCTGAGTAATACAGTCACCTTTGCATGTCCCAGAGTATAAATATAGACATTCACTGAAGATATTATAGATGCTACCAAAATTAAAGTTTTGTTAAATGTCAATAAAGGCCAGATTTTAAGGTATGAAGAAATATGTTTTTGAAGATGGTTACTATGGCAACGGAATGCCTGATCAATTTAAAATATATTTCCTTGGTAATACAGTCACTTTGACATATCCCAAAGTATAAATATAGACATTTACTGAAGACATATAGTTGGTATTAAAATTAAAGATTGGTTAAATGACAATAGATGTCAGATTTTTCGGTCTGAAGGTATGTGTTTTTGACGACGGTTTCCATGGCAACGAAATGCCTGAACAAATTAAAATATATTTTTAAGCAACACACTTGTCTTATCACTCTCCATAGCAAATATAAACATTTTCTGAATGGGGGCCTAAAATGGCTCAAACCATATATAGTTCTTTAGAATTATTTAGACTGACCATGAATTAATTAACACCCCAGTAAAAATAAAACCATTAATGTATAGTCTTACAATCAGAAATCATACACACATTCATGTGTATATGTATAATTTTATCATTACTTTGAAAAACATTTTTTTTTTCAAATTATTAATCAAGCAAGAATCTACATCTAAACATTATCCAAAATGTGTAGTTAGAGATAAATAAAATGTAGAAAATAGCTGTTATATAACAATTTTGTAGACAATAGAAACAGCTAGGCTTGATGTTTCCATAATATCTCTTTACATCAGAGGTTGACCATTATGTGGTTTTGTGTCTGACCAGTCAAGAAGAATTTTAAATGGGTTTGAAAAGTGATACTTGAAATAATCATCTTCATCTTTTCCCCTGGAATAAAAAAAACATACATGTATACTTCAATTAAAAATCAATTGTTTAATATCTACTACATTTTTCATGTGATAACAAATACAAGCATAAAAACATATCTATTTTTATTAAAATGTATATACATGTAATTCTAAACAAGTAGTTAGTATTCACACCTTGAAATAAATTGCCTCAAAATTCCTGCATGTGTACTTAAAAAAGCAGGCTTCATATCACTAGGTGCTTGGGGAAGGGACCCCCCCTCCCCTGCGTTCCATACCCCAAGGGTTCTCCCCGACTTTTTTTACATAACAAAAATATTTTTAAAACTTTTAGTATCAGAGAGTATGAATTTTTATAAAAGGTTAGTTTTAGGTTATATTTTGGAGTTTTCAATTGTAATACTTTGTGAATGTGTCATAGAAAAATATTTTATATAAAAAAAAGTCGGGGAGAACCCTTGGGGTACGGAACGCGGGGGGGGGGGGGTCCCGTCCCCAAGCACCTGTTTTTCATATTTTATCGCTTTTGGCGCAGACAACAATGCGCTAATTAATGAATACCGTAAATAAATCATAAATAAATACAATACATGGCGTAGACGTATGTAATGCTAATTCATGATTACACCAACCACTCCATACCCAGTGATTGCGCCAAATTTTGAATACGCCAATTTATGTACACATACAGTATTTTCATTGTAGCCAATTGCAAGATAAAAGTAGCTGAAACAATTTACCATCACCTACTCCAATTTGTATTTCTTTTCATAATTACTACACCCCCAGAATTTGTCAAAATTATGACTTTTATAAAAGATTTGATAAATTCATTGTGGTAGTTGGCATTAAAAAATGAAAAATGCTATTCATTTCCATATTCAGACAATTGTTGTTTTAAAAAAAATCACCTGCTTTTTACTGAAAATATTTCTCTGTGTATCGGTTCATCTTCTTTTTTCTTTTCAAAGCACCAGTACATCTAAAATACAGTGGCGCCTCGTTTATCCGGACGCCTCTGTCCCCAACGAAATCGTCCGGATAAATGAATCATCCGGATAATTGAATCACATCTCAAAAAGCACTCTCTAAGCATGTACATTGTATTTATGCACATTCTTGTTTCAAATGTGACAGCAAAGAAAAAAAACTTTTAAATTAAATTTTGGTTTATTGTTTTAAAAGCAGTAATTGATTAAAGAAAAAAAATATATTAAAATGTAATTTACACAATAAAAAATGGATGGGCAATTTTATGCTGAGACCTCCTATTTTAATTCACCTTCTCTTTGGCCTGTGACTTCATGGGCTGAGCGAATTTTGATCTACAGTTGTTTTATTTTGCCATATATTATAATTATTGAAGCTCATATGATATGACAGAACTGTTCAGCATCATCATTAAAAATGTTCAAATATAAACTAACCCCGAATATTCCCCGTATATTCATTACACAGGGTTACTATAAAATTAACTGCAAGCTTACTCAAAGTATTAAAAACATTCGTATACACAAGTCATCTTCATGATTATCAATATTTTTTTCCTACAGACGCTAAGTTTGAATTTCGATCATTAAAAATACCTTGATAAACGTAATCAACTTCTGTACGTAACACCAGTTTTATATATCTTTTCTAAAGTAATGGACGTTTGTAAACGGTAGTACATTAAATGGAGATATTTCTTCAATTATGTACCTTTCTAAACTGTCTTGTGGGGAACAAGCATTTCAAATACATCTACGTTTTTAGAAATGGAAAATAGTATTTTAAACTAACGCAATCGACATGATAAAGAGCATTACAAAATCGCTCGTTATTTATTGTTCATTTTATTTACAACTCTCCGAAATTCTCATGAATTTACCAATGTACATACGGTTAGCAATATGATTTTGAACGGATTATTATCTAAATTCTAAAGATAAACGTGTGATTGAATTGGGGTAAACACACGCTAATTATAGACGCTATTGTTTGTAGGTCACAGGTAACCGCCTTCAAACTGACTGCATGGCCAATGTTTTTACAACAGTTAACACGAATGCAAGCTAAGTGTGAAAAAGTCGTTTCTTAAAAAATTACCGTCCGGATAAACGAGTCATTTTTCAATGAACAATTACGTTTTGTACTAGAAATTGACCGTCCGGATACGGAACGCGAATTTCCGGATTAATGAGACAAAATAACGTGGAAAAAATCGGTACTCAAAAAATATCGTCCGGATGTTGAAGCGTCCGGATAAATGGCGTCCGGATAAACGCGGCGCCACTGTATTATAATGTTTAAAATATTTTTTTTTTCAAATTTAAGAGATTCATTCTTATTGTCAATCATGAATACATACATTTACATGGCTATATTGTATTTATATCCTATTAGTGTGTATATATTTATAGCTGCAGTTAAATATTTTGTTCTGAATTGTATGACTTCTTTAGACTAAAAAAAAATTATGTGTTTCCGTTAAGTCGACCATCTCTAGTTTTTACCCAACACCCCTACTAATTTTTAAGCCAAATCAGATTTTAAACTGTACAACGTTACCAAATATATATATATATATACATGTATTTTTAAATTGCCTTGTGTATATTTTTCATTACATACAAACTTACATCTTCTATAACATTCTCCTCCTTTTGATAAACTTTGTAGTTATGATTTGCCAAAGTAAGTTGCTTTCTGAAGCAAGCATAAATTCCTTTAATGCAAATATATTAATAAGATATATATCTGGAATGTCCTGCTTACATGGTGATCTTTGAATATAGACCACTTAAGTCTATTATATAAAAAGAATATTTAATTTTAAAATTATGTCAGTTTATTTGAAAAAGCTTAATTCTAACATGTAGTTTTTATACAAAATGAATATTTGAAAACATAAAAATCTATACCTGTGCCTAGGGTTGTTCTAACACTGACTGCCGTATCTTCTGCTTGTTGTTTTCCTCAAATTGTATCTTGCATTTTTCTCATGGGTTTTAGAGTGCAAAGTACTTTGCCATTCACACTTGAATTCCATTTTGAAAAGTTGAAAAACACAACATTTTTCTGTTATTGATTCATGTTTACTTTTCTGGCGTCTGTTTTTGCCACATGTTGTTATAAACTTCTTTAGACTTCAATACAGAAGAGTCAGCAAAGGGAAATAACACCAGTTTAATTTTTTGTTTTCAGTGCAAAAGAGTCAGCAAAGGGAAATAACTCTAGGTTAAATTTTAGGAAAAGTTATAATTTGAGGGGATTGGAATATAACTTTTAACTGATTTCCCCAACTCAAATCCTCTTGCATCTTTTAGATCTAAGCTCGATCTTACTAAAAAGATCTTTTTTCTAAGTTTCAATTGCCTGCAAAAATTTATGTGCATATCAAGAAATAGGCACCTTTGTATTCATTTTTATGACAAATTCATGTAAATTGATCTGTATCATATTAAAAACCTTGGGTTAAATTGAATAAAATTTAGATGCACAGAAACTTTGATTACTTAGCTATAAAATGAAAACCATGTTATGTTCATAACTTTCCTACATTAAGGAAGCACGGAATTATTTTACATGGTAATGACAATCAGGTCAGTTTTGCCGTAACAAAGTATTTCAAAGTCGTTGCTATGGAAACCAAGGAGGTACTGCCCAAAATTTACCCATCAATAGTCTTTATATAGGGCACTCTCTAATATTATAGTGATAAAATAAAATTCCATGATAGTGCGTGGCCAAGCATTTTTGGTCCTTACAGAGAATTGATGTTAAAATGTAGCACACAGTTCCTTTAAGTATTGGAACTCTTCAACTCCAGAGAAAAAGACAATAAAGGTCAAACTACATTGCGTATGTCCTTAAAAATGTTTCGAAATTGGTTTTAATGTGCGATGCCATTGAAGCCTTTCAGGCTTTTGATTTCCAATCAGAAAATAAATAATTTAACAAATAATGCTTAATGTATTAATAGAGATATGTGGTTGTCAGGAGAGGAAAAAACTAACTTTCAAAAGATATTTATACTTATAAATTAATAAATTTTGCAAATAAACTCCGAAACGGCTGCACCAGAGTTCTTACTTACTCCTCTAACAATACACTATATACAAGATGATGTCCGTAAACTATACTTAGATTTCACTCGCATAGTAAGAATCGTATATTAAATTAAAAGTCTACTTTCATTTTCTATAAACAGCCATGAAATAGCAAAAAACGTGAGTACGGTGGCGTTTCCGGTTGGCGGATCTAAGTTACTGACAATATTTAATGAAACTGACTACAAGCAATCGTTTATTTATTTCATAAAAAGTCATCACTGAATTATTCAATCAAAACTTGATTTAAATAATATAAAAGAAATGTTGTGATAACCGATTAAAAAGGGAAATGTTCATATTATTTTCGTCATTCACCGGTCTTAATATTGACGGAAGCTTCTAGAACATCATATACATGTAGCATCGAGCCTGATGTTAAAAAGAAAAACGAGTTGATTATAGCTGCATATTTTTTTTATAAATAAAAAGCTTTTGTGTGAATGGTCATTGAAATAATGGTAAATCATTGATGGCACTATAAGTTTTGAATATATTTATATATCGAAAGGCTATTACATATACATGTATATGTAGTAGGTTTTCCTAATAAATTTATCGTTAAATTTTGTATATATTCGAGAACATCGAGGAAACGAACCCGAAGTACAATTTGTACTTCGTAATAAACTTGCTTACATGAAAAGAGAAAATTTATGAAGAAGGTATTGTTCAAATACAAATAAAGATGTAAAACTTTGCCCTTTAATCAATACATTTTTTTCTGAATACAGTCTTTTGTATCAAATACTCGGCCTATTCATAGGGAGTTACAGCCTGGTACTTGGCTATTGGTTTATAAATATGTATGTACTTTATTGATACGTAAAAAGAAAATAAAGTACATTTTTACATATCAATAAGGTACATACATATTTATAAACTAAGACCCAAGTACCTATGAATCCCCCCCCCCCAAATAAAATCAATTTATCAGTAAAATGTGCTTATTTGCCGCTTTTATCCTTGACGGAAATGAAATAAGAGCATCTGAAGTACAATATCCATAACGTAGTATAACAGCTAGGTTTCACAATAAACAGAAAAACGTAAAAGATTTTACAAAAGAAGGGGGGGGGTGTAGACGTACATCAAATTCATGCGAGATTTTGAACAAAGTCTTGCTATAAGCATGTAAGCTGTCAGTAGAAACTATAATATATTTTCTGTCGGTAATGGTATAAATTCAATTCCCCGCGCTTGCGCGGGATTCCATCTAGTGATTATTTAAGAAAACAGTGACAAAATTTTTGTTTTCAAAGAAAAGATGACAAAATTTCAAAGAAAAGTCATGATGAAATTTGTAATAATCAAGAATAGTTCGTGTATCAAAAAATGCAGTCCATTTCAAAATATATACAATCAAAGGGTAAGTCTATTGGGAGGTCTTCTAAGCCTAGTTGAACAGCGCAGCTGCTGCTTGGGCTGAGGGATCGGTGGAGGTGTGGGTGGACGAGGAGGTTGTCCGACTGGGTGGTCATTATGAATCCGTCGTCCACATAGTTTGTCCAAGAAGTAGAATACTGCAAAAAAATTAATCGTTTTTAAATTCCCTCATTACCACAGCATAAAACTCCGTAAGGGATTGGGACTCGATGTTAATTCTAGGTTGTTGACACTTTCTCCGAATGGCGCACGTAACGACATATGACGACAAAAGTAACAGAAGAATTGTCACGCCAATGCTAACATACATCCACGGTTTGTCTACATATACGAAAAAAAAATTAAAGAAAAAACTTTAGAAGCTAGTTATTTGTGGAGGGGAAACTTTAGAAGCGAAGCTAGTTAATTTCGAGGGGAAAAAAACTGTAAGCAATTTTTTTACTTCAATAATATAAAATACTTACTGAATGTGATTGCGACTAGTTCAACCGTCCTTGTAATGTTCTGGGAGGATTCGGTGAAGGTGTCTGCAGTCCAGGTGCTCTGATGTTTGTTCTAAAAAATAAGGTTGCTTGAATTAATTCTAATTCTTATAAAAAAAAAATTACAATTAGTCTATTAACCTGACATGTCTGTCCATTCATCTGAATAGACGTCCAAGAGTTCCTTAGAATTCCCTCGCATTTCACATTTGAGTGGTGGACAATGAATCTCTGGAGATGCTGAAATTTTAGCAAATTGACATCCCCTCTCAATCTACTGATGATGGCGACTGTTGTAGCCTTAAACTTCCCCTCTTCAAACTCCTTGAAGTCCCTACACCGCACCGTCCCTCCATTAATCTGACATTGCGCATTGGCGTGCGCCAGCAATACAAGAATTAATACTAGCATCGTCTTTCTGATTTCAACAAGTTCCAAAAATGAAAGTCTAAAATCTCTGCTCATCCATTTTATAATAAATGATAACCCGTTCATATAAGGTGTGGAATAGATTATTGTTGGATATAAAAATTAAGATATTATCATTATTATCTTTGATTTTAATTAATTAAATTTTGGTGACAGTAGTTTTCATACTATATACATCAAATATAGAACTTTTATCTAAATAAATAACCAAAACCTTTAAAAGGAATACTTAACACCCCTTATTATTAAAATGGAACTTCTCCCTGACCATTGGAAGTGTCTATGTAGGTGTAGTGGTGAAAGAGTTTGAAAAGTTCAAATTGTAGACAAAAAGAAAATACAACTGATTTACCAATGCGTTAATTATTTAGAATAATGAAAGTAATAGATATGTAATTTAAATATATATTTTTATTTAATAGAGATAAAAAGGCCTTGTTTCGTAAAATTCAATGATTTCTAAAAGTAGAGTCACCCTGGCGCTAGCGCCTTCTATGATGCTAGCCGAAAACCGTCCCTCTTCTAGCGGACCAGCTGCACGCGTCTGGGAGTTTTGTCTATATTTGTCTGTCTGGTAGGTTTGATAGGGGTAGCTATACACAGTACATTTTAAGGGAGATTAGAACTGAAGATTACAACTAAATTCTCATAATTACATTATCTTTTATTTATCCATTAATAGTAAATAATGACAATATTTAAAACTGACATTGTTTTATTTTACTTATCATTATTAGTATCATTATCTGGTTGTCGAGCATTTACGTTGGTCACCCTTCAAACCGGACTGTGTCCAAATAAAACCTTAGTTATATATATATAACCTATACATAGGGGCCCTCAGATACAGCTCGAGTTCAATCGAATATGGCGGACACATTCTTTTTACGAAGCGTGTTCAGCTTTAATCAGTATAAGAATTTACCTGTTGCAGTGCCGCTTCGACAGAGCGGGCACCTGCTGTCCAGCAGTAAACGAAAACATTGCATACAGCATACTAATTGTTTGCAGGTATAGCATATACAATTGCAGAGTTTTGTTTCACAACACATTCTGCAGGTAAACGAAGAGAGCAGAAATAGCATATACATATATCCCCACTTCATACTTCCTTTTTTACTGGTTCTTTGGGGATCCATAATAATACGTTCTTATTAATGTTTGGTTAGGTGTATAATGGTAGGTTTTTTGTATATATAAAGCGTTTTTGAATATGTAATTTTAGTTTGTTATTACTTCAATTATTTTTAAAACTAACGCTAATTCAAATACTACAAGGGTAATCATTTTGA